CATACGATTACTGAAATTTATGTATTATTTCTTTCACTGCAGGGGCATTAGAAAAACAATTACAGGAAAAGGAAAAATGGTAAGCATTATACTCAATGCACATCATAAGCTTTTTTGGCTAACTCATATCTTATATTATTTTTAGAAATAAACAGGTTATAATCTAATCCAATAATCACACATATACTTGTTAGGTTTAGAAACTACACAACATTTCACTTAAATAAACTACAAGCCCACACAGTTTCTACCAAGAAATGTAATTTATATTAATGAAAGATGCCAAAGGCTTTTCTAGAGATTACTCTCATACCAATTTTAATGATCTGACTGCATGAAGAGGATTCCAAGCATGTTAGCAGTTCAGGATGCTTTAATGAAATAGCTTTTTAATTGTAAAGAATCAACTTAGAATCACACAGAAGATTTACATCTTAAAGCTGGCGTGCAGCTTGCTCCAGCGGCATGGAGCTTAAAAGCCAAACCACTGAGGAAGACAGTTAAATACGAATGCTAAGTCCTTGCTGCATCAGACTCATCAGATGATCTTTTGACTTTATGTCTCCTTAAGCTTCCCTATGTCTGGATGGAAATATGCTAGCTTTCACCTCACAATCTGCTTGCTTCAGTCCTCTTCTTTAGAGTTGATGCACACAAAATGGCTGACAAGTAGAGGCCATTTTCTCCAAGCTGACTATCACAAGCTGGTTGTTCATAGCATGTCATTATACGGTTTTTGGAATTCTGGATTTTTTGATGCACCACCAAAGCCTTTCTGAGATTTAAATCCCCTGGATTTAAACAACCCCCATGTACCAAAATTTATATGTACACTTATCATCATACATCTTAACCTGGAGGGAAAAAAAATTAAGCAGAATGCCTCTAATTTTGTGAAAGCTCTCTTCTATTGTCAACATTAAGTGTTCAAAGCAGAGGGTCTTTTGCACATCCCTTTGCTATGTGAGGCATGGCTGGTAAGGATGCAGGATAGGCCCTTTTCTGCTGTGGCACCCAGAATGTGATTTCTTGCCTAGAAGGCATAGTCTGGTAGTATTCAACTGCCATTTCAAGACATGTCTTTCTCAATAAATCTTTTATTTGTTTGTTTCCTTCCTCTTCCCTAGTGCAGCATGCAAGACTGTATGGGATCTCTTTTTCTTTCCCCTACCTCTTTCTGGTTTTGGTTTTGAATTGCTGCTTTTTATGTTCCGGGAGCTTTATCAGTCTGGTTTTAATTGGTATGGATTTACTACTGTTTCACTGTTGCTTTTTTAGCTTTATTCTATACCATCCTGAAGAAGTCTACTCTGGAGACAGCAAGACAAACTACAAGCTTCCTAATAAACAAAAATATGCCACATAATGTTCAAAGTCAACTGTAGCCACTATTTAAGCTCCCCTCCCTTACCAACCCCCCCCAACATAACCATAAATGCAACAACTACTATAGACACAAAAACAAACCTTCATTATAAAATATAATTATATCCATGAAGCATAATCATTCCAAATAGTGATTAGGCTCTGGACGTAAGGGAAAAAATACTGCATGTTTTGGAGGTTATCCTGTCCTGATTATCATATTTCCCATGGCACAGGTTTTATATTTAGGATGCAATCTATCAAGCACCAATGCTGTGTAGCTGTCATTCATTAATAAGCTACTGCAGCATAGTGTGTGAGAGTTTGTCCAAATCTGGACACAGTATACACTATAATACATAAAAATCTAGGGCCTATGTGCAGTGTTATGTGCCCCTGTTAACCTAATTTTTGGACTTACATGTTTTCTGTTCACAAGCCCTCAAGTGTCTTAACCATCTAGTTTGATACAAAATTCTGCAGAACTAAAAAGCTTGCACACTATTGTGGAACTGTAGTTAAACCACATAAAAGCATTGCCTGCCTGCAAATTGTGGTTCCCAGTCTTTGGGCCTCCAGATGTTTTGGACTTCAGTTCTGAGAAACCTTGACTGTTGGCCAAGTTGGCCAAGGCTTCTGGGAGTTGAAGTCCAAAACACTTGGCGGACCAGAGTGGGAACCACCAACCCAGCTGGGCCAGAACCCATTTCCAGGATACCTTCTCTTATACTGGAGCTCTTGCCAGCCACTTTCGCCCTTCTGTATCTGTGGATTTATGGTGGTACATGGCTGGAACCCAAATAAATCCCCTGGCAAAATACTCTCAGGCAGTGGCATTGCACAGATGGTAACCAGGACATGTGTGGCCAAGCAACATCAGAGGGTAGTCAAGAAAGCAACAGATATTAATGAGGAAGAACACACAAGATAGGAGAAGCCGCAGCAGTTTGCAGTTGCCTGAGCCTATTGGGAAGGGCAAGATTCCAGTGTGGCATAGTGGTTTGAACACTGGGCTATGAGTCTGAAGACCAGGGTTCAATTCCTGCTTGGCTATGAAGCCCAATGTGTGGCCTTGGGCAAATCACATGCTCTCAGCCTAAGGGGAAGGCAATGGCAAATCTCCTCTGAACATATCTCGCCAAGAAAAAACTGTGACAGGTTCACCTTTAGGTTCGCCCTACGTCAAAGACTACTTGCATAACATACATGCCCTCCTTCCCTCCTTCCTGCTGAGTTAATTGGGTGCAAACTACAGCATTTTTAGATTCTGAAATCAGTTTCCAGCATCTGAAATAAGATGAAGGTAAAGGGGGAAGTTGGGGGCAGGAGGAGAGAGAAGCTGGGACATTTTAAAAGTGATTCAAAAACTGGGAAGACAGAAGATTAATCAGGTCTGTTCCCTGCCCAATTGGGACAGTTGAAGGGTATGCTATGGTTAAACACTAAAATATACTAAGTGTTATTTTCCAAGGCTTCTCTATAAACATATACCACACTCGCCTAGCTCACCGTACTCAGTTCACTGTGTTAACCTTTGTATCCTTTCTAACTACAGTGGAACC